GCCCCCGCCCCGGGACCCGACAGCCTGTCGGAGGCGGTGGCCCGCGGCTGGCGGCCGGCGGCCGGCGCAACTCTTCATCCGCCTGGGGTCTCGAGCATCCCAGGGCCTCGCACGCGAGGGAGCGGGGACATCTCCGGGGCCCAGGAGTTGTTGCCGGCCCGAGACGGCATGTTCAATTGTGGACACAGAGGAAAATGATCCGGTGGAACCAGCCTAGGCGGCCCTGCTATCTCCGCCCGCACCCCCAGGGCGGCCCGCTCCTCTGCGGCGTCTGCCTTGGGGCGCCCGGGAGCCCTGGGCGCTGGGCCACAGAGAAGCCCCGCAGGGGCAGCTGGCTGGGGAGGGAGCGGGGTGGCGGGCGCGCGGGGTACGGAGCTGGGGCGCGCGGGCTGAGCGGGGCCCGCCGATCCCCGCCCTCCCCAGTCCCACTGCTGGGCGGACCCCTCTCCCCAGCCGTCCAGCTGCACCGGCCCCTCCCCCTAGGGCCGCCCTTCCCTTGTCGGCCGCCCTTCCCTTGTCGGCCGCCCTGGGGGCTTCTCCCAGCCGAGTCTAACGCGGAGCAGGGGCGGCCGGTGACGAACCTCAACTCAAACCCGTCCCCGCTGGGGCGACCCCTGTCCCTGCTCTACCTGGCGGGCTCCGGACCCTGTGCCGGGGCCCCTGGGCCCCCAGGCACCTGATGGTCGCCCAGGTCCTTCCGTGGCCCCGTGCGCCGCCCCCTCGCTGGGCGCGGTGTCCCGGCGGAATCGCCGGGCTTTGCCTGTAGTGCGCGAGCTATGATTGGAACCACAGAGCTGGAATGATGTGCAGAGGAAAAGGGTTTCTCAGACCAGCGTGGAAAGCCACGGCGGTCGGTACCCACTCCGGGGCCGAACAGACTCAGAATCCTTGCCGAAATGCCGCCCACAAGATTTTACATTCCCGGAGTCCACAGGCCACCAACCAAGGCCCAGGATCCAGAGGTGTGCAGAATGGTGTCAAGGTGAGTGACGGCGCACTGGCTTTGCCCTCCGGGTGCCCCAGTCTCTGGCTGTTAACCTTCCTCCTGTGTATGCTTTGATTTCCGCCCTGTGCATTTGCGGTGGTGGGGCGTGCACAGCAGCCCCCCGCTCTCCAGCCTGTCTGGACCACTCACTCTAGCTCCGCAGTATCCCCAAAGCTGTGTCCCTTTGTCAGGGGACCTCAGAGTGCCCTTGCTCCTCAGTGCCATTTCCCCACTCTCTCCAGCCTCACTACCTTTCACACAGCCTCCTGCCAACCAGGCTGTTGCCCAAGACAGGACCCCTGCCCAGGGAGAACCCAGGAACTGCTCTTCCAGGCTGAATTAGAATCAAGCAGAAAGAACCCTTGATTCAGTGTCTCAGTCTGCTTTCACTGCAGTAATAAAAATAAGAAAGAATGGGAGGCTTATGAACAAAATAAATTTGTCACTGTTCTGGAGCCTGGAAATTCAGGATCAAGGTGCTCAGTGGATTGACAATCTGGTGAGGCCTCCTTCCAGGTTCACAGAGGTCTTGTCTGTGTCCTCACCTGGTGCAAGTGGGAGGGAGTTGTCTGGGGTCTCCAATCCCATTCCTGAGGGCTCCACCCTCATGACCTAACCACCTCCCAAAGGCCCCACCTGCAGTACCATTGCATTGAGGGGTAGGATTTGAACTTACGAATTTTAGGGGAGACACAACTCAGTCCCTAGAGCTCAGGGAAGTGACAGGGATTTCAGAAGATGGTGACATACACCTTGAATCTGCAACTCAGGGGCTGTGTCTCCCCACACTGGCTCCATAACTCAGGTTTTAAGAAAAAGGGGCAATCCAATGATAAAGCTTTAATCAACAAAGCCAAGGAAATAAATGGCCACCAAAGAAAGATTTTCTTTTAAATAAGGGAACCCAGGGTACAACTGATGAGTTCAGATCTATATATTAAACACACACACATTTATTTCTCTCAGTTCTGGAGGCTGGAAGTCTGAGATCTGGGTGCTGTCGTGGTTTGGGTCTGGTGAGCCTCTCCTGGCTTGTCTTTGCGTGGTGGGGGAGGGGGGCTGGGTGGAGGGGGGATAATTGGGGGTGGGGACGTAGAGAAAGCACGCTTGCTGGTCTCTGTTCTTAAGGGCACTAATCCTATCATGGGGGCCCCACCCACATGACTTCTTCTAAACCGAATCACCTTCCCAAACCTCACCTTCTAATACATGCCGCTTCGGGTTAAGGCTTCCACCAGGAATTTTGGAGGAATGCATTCAATGTATGTAATAGCTCCAGACTGAAGTGTTTGTGTTATTCAAACTGAGCTGTACTGTTCTAGGATTTCATTTCCTTTCTTGGAATTTTTTTGTTGTCCCTTGAGTTAATTGTTGTCTCTTTTTTCATTGGTTAATTTTCCTTGTTCTTATCATTAATTCAACTCCAAACTGTCCAACAAATGTATAAATCTCCTTTAGATTTGTTAAAACATGGAGGCAGTGGTGATTTAGAGTCTCCTGCCTCTACTCCCATAAGGACAGCTGGCTCTCCAGTCTCGCTGCCCAGCCTTTGTGCTGGCATTTCCTATGACCATGACTCTGGAAACTCTTGCAGACGCTCTCCTGCACTGCACCCTGGTTTCTAGGATCCCATGTGTGCTGCAATATATTTTATCTTGGCCTCACCACCACCTGCTTCTCAGATCTCCTCTGCACCACAAAGGAGAAACTAGGAAGTCTATCTCCTAGAATCCCTGCCCCATACAGTACTAGGTTAGAATCTGCCAATAAGAGACAATCATACCTGATTAGGTAGTTGGGAGAGAAGAGGAAGCCATTATTTCACTATTCCCAGAGGCATGTTGTCAGCTCTGATGGGAGACGTGAAATTCTTTTTTTTTTTTTTTTAAAGATTTT